TCATGGAGCAATGCACTAAAATCTGCTGTTTTATGCACTGTAGTTTGTAAACTTTGAGGACTTATCAGTCTCCTGCATTTCCCACATCTGTTAAAGGTGTGATTGATATCATTAGCCACTAGATGTCGCACTCCTCCTCCCCCCTTCTATTGCATTTACGTCACCGGTACATCTGCCTCGGCCTCCGCTAGGAGACTGCAGCTGCAGGAGTGTGAGCTCCACACCAGGGACAGTCTCCACCCGCACACACAATGACAGAAGTAATTGTTAGCATAACGTGGCTAAGGTTACCTAACAGTTATTAGCGGGTTTAAACTGTTGAGTCAAACCTTTTCGGTGTTGGCGTAGGTTTTACTGTGACTGTTAAAACGGCTTGGTGTAGGATGTTAGCTGCTGCTGCTGTGTTGGTAGCAGATGTTGAACTGATGATCCCAACTGGGAAATATGAAGACTCGCTGACAACACAGAGATACAACGAGATACGTGATACCAATGCTGTTTGGCCTTGTTAGAAGCAGTAACCAAATCTCTCTCTCTATATATACAGTACAGGCCAAAAGTTTGGACACACCTTCTCATTCAATGCGTTTTCTTTATTTTCATGACTATTTACATTGTAGATTCTCACTGAAGGCATCAAAACTATGAATGAACACATGTGGAGTTATGTACTTAACAAAAAAAGGTGAAATAACTGAAAACATGTTTTATATTCTAGTTTCTTCAAAATAGCCACCCTTTGCTCTGATTACTGCTTTGCACACTCTTGGCATTCTCTCCATGAGCTTCAAGAGGTAGTCACCTGAAATGGTTTCCACTTCACAGGTGTGCCTTATCAGGGTTAATTAGTGGAATTTCTTGCTTTATCAATGGGGTTGGGACCATCAGTTGTGTTGTGCAGAAGTCAGGTTAATACACAGCCGACAGCCCTATTGGACAACTGTTAAAATTCATATTATGGCAAGAACCAATCAGCTAACTAAAGAAAAACGAGTGGTCATCATTACTTTAAGAAATGAAGATCAGTCAGTCCGGAAAATTGCAAAAACTTTAAATGTGTCCCCAAGTGGAGTCGCAAAAACCATCAAGCGCTACAACGAAACTGGCACACATGAGGACCGACCCAGGAAAGGAAGACCAAGAGTCACCTCTGCTTCTGAGGATAAGTTCATCCGAGTCACCAGCCTCAGAAATAGCAAGTTAACAGCAGCTCAGATCAGAGACCAGATGAAAGCCACACAGAGTTCTAGCAGCAGACCCATCTCTAGAACAACTGTTAAGAGGAGACTGCGCCAATCAGGCCTTCATGGTCAAATAGCTGCTAGGAAACCACTGCTAAGGAGAGGCAACAAGCAGAAGAGATTTGTTTGGGCCAAGAAACACAAGGAATGGACATTAGACCAGTGGAAATCTGTGCTTTGGTCTGATGAGTCCAAATTTGAGATCTTTGGTTCCAACCGCCGTGTCTTTGTGAGACGCAGAAAAGGTGAACGGATGGATTCCACATGCCTGGTTCCCACTGTGAAGCATGGAGGAGGAGGTGTGATGGTGTGGGGGTGTTTTGCTGGTGACACTGTTGGGGATTTATTCAAAATTGAAGGCACACTGAACCAGCATGGCTACCACAGCATCCTGCAGCGACATGCCATCCCATCCGGTTTGCGTTTAGTTGGACGATCATTTATTTTTCAACAGGACAATGACCCCAAACACACCTCCAGGCTGTGTAAGGGCTATTTGACCAAGAAGGAGAGTGATGGAGTGCTGCGGCAGATGACCTGGCCTCCACAGTCACCGGACCTGAACCCAATCGAGTTGGTTTGGGGTGAGCTGGACCGCAGAGTGAAGGCAAAGGGGCCAACAAGTGCTAAACACCTCTGGGAACTCCTTCAAGACTGTTGGAAAACCATTTCAGGTGACTACCTCTTGAAGCTCATGGAGAGAATGCCAAGAGTGTGCAAAGCAGTAATCAGAGCAAAGGGTGGCTATTTTGAAGAAACTAGAATATAAAACATGTTTTCAGTTATTTCACCTTTTTTTGTTAAGTACATAACTCCACATGTGTTCATTCATAGTTTTGATGCCTTCAGTGAGAATCTACAATGTAAATAGTCATGAAAATAAAGAAAACGCATTGAATGAGAAGGTGTGTCCAAACTTTTGGCCTGTACTGTATATATATATAGAGAGAGAGAGAGAGATTTGGTTACTACTAAGAAAAGAAAAGAAAAGGAAAATCTATACTTTTACTCTGTACTTATATACATAAGTACAGAGTAAAAGTACTTACTTATATATATAAGTACAGAGTAAAAGTATAGATTTTCCTTTTCTTTCCTTTTTTTGAGGAAATCAATACTTTTATTCCGCAATTTTCTACATAAAAGTCACATAAAAATGTTTAATAAAATTAATAAAACCTTTAAAAGAGTGTTTTTACGTGCTGCAAAACAATATTAAGTGTTGCCAAGTTTGCAATACTGATTAAAAGATTACACATTTGAATTTCTGTTAAACATGACAAGGACGTTACTTCTCATTCACTTGTATAGCATCTTCTTACATTCACTCACTCAGGCCAGATGTCTCATACTGTCACATTTGTTTCAAAAACAACATAATTATGATATCTCATTTGAGAAGAAACAATGAGTCGTGATAATTCTCTCCACACTGCAGCTGACTGAAAGGGAAGACTACCTGCCAGAGTCATGAGATCACAGGTTTCCATAGTCGAGCCTGTCCTCGTGTGCCAAGTTTGCTCAGAGCCCAGTTCACAGGGAGCTGCATATTGTCTGAGCTTAGCATCTGTGTGCTGCATGGACATCATCGCGGATAATAAAATTATGCATGATGTTGGCCTCTACACTGTCTGACAACTGCCTCAGTGTTGACAAGCTGATATTAACAATCATCAGGGGAAGGCTTCTTTGTTTTGCTACTGATGTTTGCTTATTTGGACTGCTTTGTGAAGGAAGTATCTTGGGATGCATAGCTCTTGTTTGCTGACAATTCAAACCTGTATTACTAAGAAGCCTACTACTGTCTATCTGTCTCACAAGAGGTAGTTCCTGGACTGTTTCAAAACATAAATTGGTAAACTTGTAAGTGAAAACAGCATACGGTTTAATGGTATGACTTTAACTATGTTCCTTTTCAGTGGAGTGATGACAGCTAAACCTATTCTGTAGTGTACAGAATACAGTGGTTGATCCGCACAGTAAAAGGGGGCAACATTTAATCCTGTAGTTTTACTATGTTCTCACTTCCTCCAGCAACAGTTTATTTCTTTTTCCATACAATAAAAAGTAGCACCATGCAATTTTCACGTGTTACAGCTGCAAAGACATTTAGTGGAACAAAACGGAAACTGATTTATAAAAGGAGGCATTGTTTCAATCTGTGGCATTAAGGCTCATTTTACTCCCTTTAGGCACGAAAATAGATCGTTCATTTCAAACGTCTCAACCATCACTGCCCACATACTTCCATGCTTTTCTTTATGTTGGCAGAGATACATCCACTAGATAGCACTAGAGGGCAGACTGAAAAGTTTCTGACAACAACAAACAAGGCGACGGTGGAGAAGGTTGTAATATTGTCCCTTTTAATGGAGGCAGAGGTGTTGACAGTGGTCTGTGAGGCCATTAAATATACGTTGTGATATTCATGGACAGGATCTCAAGGTGCAGGCGGGGGGAGGAAGGGGTCTGGGTTGAGAACCTCAGAATTATGTCTCTGCTTTTTGCAGATGATGTGGTTCTGTAGGCTTCATCACACTGTGACCTCCAGCGTGCACTGGGGCGGTTTGCAGCCAAGTGCTAAGCAGTCGGGATGAGTGTCAGCACCTTCATATCAGAGGTTATGGTTCTTGGATTGCCCCCTCCAGGTTGGCAGTGAGTTACTGCCTCAAGCGAGGGAGTTCAAGTATCTCAGGGTCTTGTTAACGAGTGAGGGTAGTATGGAGCGTAAAATGGATCAGCAGTTTGGTGCAACTTCTGAGATGGTGCAAGCGCCGCGCCAGATGGTCGTGGTGAAGAGGGAGCTGAACCGAAAGGCGAAACTTTCGATTTACTATTCCATCTACGTCCCAACCCTCACCTATGGTCATGAGCTCTGGGTAGTGACCAAAAGAATGAGATAGAAGATACAAGAGACCGAAAAAAGTTTCCTCAGAAGGGTGACTGGGCTCAGCCTTAGAGATAGGGTGAGGAGCTCGGACATCCAGAGGGAGCTCGGAGTAGAGCCGCTGCTTCTTCGCATCAGAAGGGGTCAGTTGAGGTTGTTCGGGCGTCTGATCAGGATCCTCCTGGGCGCCTCCTGTTAGAGGTGTTCCAGGTTTGTCCCACTTGTAGGTGGCACCAGGGTAGACCCAGAACACACTGGAGGGATTGCATATCTAATCTGGCCTGGGAACACCTTGGGGTCCACCCGGGAGGAGCTGAAAAGCATTACTGTGGAGAGGGACATGTGGGGTGCTTTGCTTGGGGACCCGGTGCTGGATAAGCAGATTAAGATGGATGGATGGATGGATGGATGGATGGATGGATATGTCCTATAGGCGTGCCTTGCTTGTCTGTATTGGAAGCTTGCAGGAAACATGCACACATAAAAATGTAATGAAAGCAGAGCACAGACAGAAGGCTACATCTGTGCTCTGCAGACAAATCTAACATAAATGAGTCCTTGAATTAAATCGACCATGTGGCCTATTCAGAAGGAGAAAAAAGAGGATTTCTTTATGTAGGCATGCTGTATGTAAAGTACATCATATATCAACCATTTCATGGCCTTGCTCTCTAATGTTACATAAATGGATGAATGCCTTTACCATTTTATCTTACGAGTGAAGGTTCTGTATTTCATTTAAAGGTGACAACAAACTAAATACAAAACTCCCCAGCAAACCTTCCGTAATGCTCACAATCTGTAACACCCGCACATTTTGAAAGACACATGGCTAGCATTTCATTTATTTTCTCCTCCCTCCGTCTCTACAGTTATGTGAAACGGCACTGTCCCATGGCTACCTTCCGGCAGTTTTCAACCGCCGCAGCCACAAAGGCACCCCGCTCACCACCCTCAAGCTGCAGCAGTTCGGTGACCCTGCGGACCTGCGCGAGGCTGTGCGCTACATCCGCCATCGACAGCCTGCAGGAAGACTGTATGCAGTGAGCGAGAGCACCGGGTCGGGCCTTCTCCTCTCTTACCTGGGGGAGTGTGGATCATCCAGCTATGTGACGGCAGCCGTCTGCCTGTCGCCCGTGTTCCGCTGTCAGAGCTGGTTTGAGAACGGGCTGTACTGGCCCCTGCAGTGGGCGCTGGTGCTCTACCAGAAGATATGTCTCAGCAGGTATGGAAACGTGCTGGCATAGGTTTGGTAGAGAGGGATGGGTGGGCAAAATGGCGATGATGCCTGAGAACAAAATATCAAGAAAGACTCAAATAAACACAACTCTCTAGGCTTTCAAATGAAGACTCTTCATTAAAAACTTCATTTCAAACAAAAGAGAGCCAGAGAGCAGATCAAGGCAAAAGCGAATATGGGTACGCCTGAGAAGTCAGCAACATTCCCTCCTTACACAAGGAAAATATGTGCATGCACACCTACAGCAAGTAGGGTAGGTCAAAGTTGAACCAGAAATATGTTTAGCTAACCTGATGGTTTTTGAAGTTGATCTTTTTCTTTTCAGTGACGTTGCTGCATTCCCAGGTGTCAGCAGTTAACTTGAGCACTTACCAATAAGAACAATGGCTTACAGAACTGTGAAAATAACATTGCATGAAGCTAGAATTTTCCTTAAATGGCGACTGGTAATACACTGCTCAAAAAAATAAAGGGAACACTTAAACAACACAATGTAACTCCAAGTCAATCACACTTCTGTGAAATCAAACTGTCCACTTAAGAAGCAACACTGATTGACAATAAATTTCACATGCTGTTGTGCAAATGGAATAGACAACAGGTGGAAATTATAGGCAATTAGCAAGACACCCCCAATAAAGAAGTGGTTCTGCAGGTGGTGACCACAGACCACTTCTCAGTTCCTATGCTTTCTGGCTGATGTTTTGGTCACTTTTGAATGCTGGCGGTGCTTTCACTCTAGCGGTAGCATGAGACGGAGTCTACAACCCACACAAGTGGCTCAGGTAGTGCAGCTCATCCAGGATGGCACATCAATGCGAGCTGTGGCAAGAAGGTTTGCTGTGTCTGTCAGCGTAGTGTCCAGAGCATGGAGGCGCTACCAGGAGACAGGCCAGTACATCAGGAGACGTGGAGGAGGCCGTAGGAGGGCAACAACCCAGCAGCAGGACCGCTACCTCCGCCTTTGTGCAAGGAGGAACAGGAGGAGCACTGCCAGAGCCCTGCAAAATGACCTCCAGCAGGCCACAAATGTGCATGTGTCTGCTCAAACGGTCAGAAACAGACTCCATGAGGGTGGTATGAGGGCCCGACGTCCACAGGTGGGGGTTGTGCTTACAGCCCAACACCGTGCAGGACGTTTGGCATTTGCCAGAGAACACCAAGATTGGCAAATTCGCCACTGGCGCCCTGTGCTCTTCACAGATGAAAGCAGGTTCACACTGAGCACATGTGACAGACGTGACAGAGTCTGGAGACGCCGCGGAGAACGTTCTGCTGCCTGCAACATCCTCCAGCATGACCGGTTTGGCAGTGGGTCAGTAATGGTGTGGGGTGGCATTTCTTTGGGGGGCCGCACAGCCCTCCATGTGCTCGCCAGAGGTAGCCTGACTGCCATTAGGTACCGAGATGAGATCCTCAGACCCATTGTGAGACCATATGCTGGTGCGGTTGGCCCTGGGTTCCTCCTAATGCAAGACAATGCTAGACCTCATGTGGCTGGAGTGTGTCAGCAGTTCCTGCAAGACGAAGGCATTGATGCTATGGACTGGCCCGCCCGTTCCCCAGACCTGAATCCAATTGAGCACATCTGGGACATCATGTCTCGCTCCATCCACCAACGCCACGTTGCACCACAGACTGTCCAGGAGTTGGCGGATGCTTTAGTCCAGGTCTGGGAGGAGATCCCTCAGGAGACCATCCGCCACCTCATCAGGAGCATGCCCAGGCGTTGTAGGGAGGTCATACAGGCACGTGGAGGCCACACACACTACTGAGCCTCATTTTGACTTGTTTTAAGGACATTACATCAAAGTTGGATCAGCCTGTAGTGTGTTTTTCCACTTTAATTTTGAGTGTGACTCCAAATCCAGACCTCCATGGGTTAATAAATTTGATTTCCATTGATAATTTTTGTGTGATTTTGTTGTCAGCACATTCAACTATGTAAAGAACAAAGTATTTAATAAGAATTTTTCATTCATTCAGATCTGGGATGTGTTATTTTGGTGTTCCCTTTATTTTTTTGAGCAGTGTATTTGATGAGGCTATATTTTGAAAGGTCTACAACAGATTTCTGGGTGAAGATCTGCAATATCCTTTTGCAGCATGGAGCAATTGTGAACATAATGAGTTTTGGTATACAGAGCAAGATCAGCAGCTCCTCCTTCCAGTTTACAGCAGGGAATAATTCACACAGCATCAAGAAATTAAAGGGAAAAAAGACACAGCTTCATAAGGCTGCCGCATGAAGTACACTGCATTAAAATCTCAGACAGAATACACTCAGACAAGGAAGAAATATGAATTTCCAGCCAGCCAACAGGGAGATACAAAGGGATTGCAATAAAAACAGATGCAAGTACTCAGTAACTATTTACTGGAAAGGCACGGACAATTAAGGAGACAATGAAGTTACTGTAGCAACAGATGGCCTGCTCAGTGTCAAGTCATTGATTCTGAGAGACATCGTGACCCAGGTAAGGTTTCTCAAATCAATGCCACTGAGGGAATATGAGACCCATGCTCTCCAAAATTGATTTACTGGTTTTCTCTTGTCTGTTTATTTGTGTTCGTTGTGTGTGTGTGTGTGTGTGTGTGTGTGTGTGTGTGTAGGTACAAGACGGTGCTGGGTGAGACCATACAGACAGACACCCTGTTTTCTAGCTGTTCCTTGCGGGGCCTGGAAGAGGCATTATTTTGTCAGACTGGACAAGTGGGCTCCACACCAGCAGCACCAGCAGGGACCAGCATTAGCTGCAATACTTCAGGCACCTGGGATGCTTACTGGGAACGCAACGAACCCTTGAGAGATGTGGATGAAGTTGCTATTCCTGTCTTGAGCGTGTGTGCTCAGGATGACCCAGTCCGTGGTGACGCCCAATCCACGGTGCCCTTGGAACTCTTTGAGACAAACCCACATTTTTTCCTCCTCCTAACTGAACGTGGAAGTCACTGTGGTTTCTCCACCCAGTTCGAGGGCAGTGCTGGTGGTGCAGTCGGTGCAGTCGGTTCTGCAGCTGCACCAAACAGTGGGATGGAGAGCCGTCGGACCAACTGGAGCCACAGAGCTCTGCTGGAATTCTTCAGGGCGACCACAGACTTCTTCGCTGCAGAGGAGAGGGCGAAGCAGCTCGCTGCAAGGAGGAGGGGGCTGGGAGGAGGCGCGGGAGGGAGGGTTTTCCGCCACCGCAGTGTCAGTACATGTAAACGAGTGCCAGTGTGTTCCCATAATATCCACGCCATTTATAACTGGCAGAGGTCCTATACACGATGAGGAAGCTTAATGGAAGTTAATGGACTACACGGATGCTTTCTGATATTGTTTAGATTTTGGAGGTCGTTCTCCGTCTGTGCCACACTCAGTTTGGAAATGTTAAGATATCCACAACTAGCAGAGTGCAAGGACTGAGCTCATGGAGTACGCTTAAGTGTGTGTTGTTCTCACATTCTTAACGTGAGCCAGAAAACACTCGGACAGAAAAGGGATCACGACAGGCCAAAAGCTTGCATGCAGTTGTTCTGCTTAACTGCTGATCAGTTGACACTAAACAAGACGGGTGGCTTTTTTATTTTTCTACAGACTGATGCAAATCTCTTCACTGCCAGCTGTTAAAACTAAAAGATTCTGTCACACATAGTACATTCGTTGATCCATCAATCCATCTGCCTCACCTTACACAGTTTACACAAGATATTTGTAATGTTGACACTTACTGTAGTGACTTACTGTTCTCCTATTATCACTGAAAGGATATTTATTGCGGAGCAAAAATCTTGACAGTCTTGTGCATAAAGTAGAAAGGGGAAAAAAATCCTGCGATAATCTGAAATTACTCTGAACTACATGTCAAATGAGTTTAATGAACTCATCCAGGGTTACTGTACACATTAAAGAGAGTTTACTGTGTATATCATTAAACTTTCGTCTTCTGTATTGGGAAGTGTTCTGTGATGGAATTTTTGTGTAATTGAGGAAAATCTGTGTCATGATATTTTAACGAGCTGGGGGACTGGAAGCACTTTGTGAGTTTTCCTATCTCATCATTTAAACGCTGCGCTCCAAGGTTTCCCCTGGCCGCTCAGGATATGAAAGTGGTGAAGCTGTGAGGGTGGCTGGTTTCGCACGAAGGTGGAGCGTTCAAGACTTAGCAGCGTAATGTTGAGTGAATTTTTTTCTCAGGTCCCTTGAAATTGTGTTATTTGGATTTATTCTTGTACAATAAAGCTAGTGTTGGTAACTTTTATGAAAGCGACTGTATTGTATTTGCTTAAACTGTCACTATATTCCAAAAAAAAAACAAATACACGATACAGTCTGTGAAAAAAATCCTCCTCCTCCTCCCTCTGCCTCTATTTGTAAAAATCTCCCCCGGCACATCAAAAACAACCAATCAGAGCTGAGGAGTTTCTAAAGCCCTGTTTCCACCAAGTAGTATGGTAACTTACAGTTAAGTTTGGTATGCTTTTTTCCGTTTCCAATGTGAAAAACTGTGGATGGTACCAATTGAACCTTTTCCGTTCTTTTTCCGTCCCCCCTCTGTTGGGGTACCTAGCACACAGATCTGGTACTAAAAGGTGGAGCTGTGAACACTGCAGCCCATTCATTGGTCAATAGCAGATGGTCACTCTGCTCAGGGCTGAGTTGTGGCAGTATTTGCAATCACTGTTCATACCGTGGCAAGTCTTACATACATTAGTAAACTATAGTAAAGGATGCTTTGCTGCCTCTTTTAGCAGCTGGAGGCTGAGATAAAAAAAACTCAATTCACCAGCAACATTTAAGGTAGAACATTTACTTGTAATATTATTCAGTGCATGAGTCGACGACGCGAATTTCAATACGACAACTTTGACCATTACTTTAGTTTTTATTGTCTCTCTTGGATGACACAGACTTTTAGTAATGAGTGGCTCTTCAAATTTTAAATATATTCATTTGACCAGATTCTGTGGACTGCATATATTCTAGTCCTCACTTGAAGAAAAAAAAAAGCATCATTGAGTGTCGTTCCTGTGAGCTCAGGCCAGCTGCACTTGCCTTAAAAGGACTAGGGGCACAAACCCGCTATTTCTAAATATTCCATGGAGAGAGACTCTCACTCAAGTCTGTCGTATTTTGTACTGAAAATGTCGGCGTGCTACCTCGTTGTGTGGACAATAAACAAGGCGCAGATGCAGCAGTGAGTGCTGGATGGAGCAGTGAGTGACAACAACCCCGCCCACATTTAAAAGTACTGTTTGTTGTGGAAACGCTAAATGGACCTAGGGTCTCGGTGCCATGTTTGAAGGGTTACTTTTGGTTCCAATGGTACCATACTGAAAGTGTCTGGTGGAAACAGGGCTCAACGCTCAATCATGTCAATCACTGCTCGAGAACTGTGGTCACTTTCAAACTATGCAGAGCTGATCAAATATGAATCAAGATTCTGTTGTTTCTGATGCTTGCAGAAACAAATTTTACTGTACTATTTAGCTATAAAACTAGAAAGCTTGTGACCCGGCTGCCAAGTTGGATACAGTCAACAGAAGTACCGAACACCACCCACTGGTCGGACCAACTTTCATATTTGAGACTCCTCAGCTCTGGTTGTTGTTTTCGTTTACCTTTCATGAGGGTGCTAGAAGCACGACAAGGCAATAGAGTAAACAGAGGAGTATGATTTCATTTAATGCTGAGTGAATATAGTGACAGGTTACTTTTTGTTATAGAAAATAAAGTTACCAACTACAGCTTTTAAATAATAAATTATATTCATTAAAATGATATACAGTAAAAATACAGCTCAACAGTTTGATAAGCAGGAAAAAGTCGAGGTTGAAGGTAGTAGAAAGCATCAGACACAAAACTACAGAGCACTGTTGATTTGATTTTTGCCCTCTGTTGTTTTAGAAACGTGATACGCCAATTAAATTTGTTGTTTTATGTGATGGAATCTGAAAACTATAATAAAATGAACCAAGATGACACAGTTGGGATATATACGCTTCGTATCAGCAATGTGTCCTAAAATATAGCATTTATCTTTCCACTAAAGGTAAGTAAACTCCTCATTAACCAGCATGCTGCATCATAAATCTTGTTCTCAGTTGAGTCATTATTTTTGCTTTTAATCATCTTCATCTTTAAAGCACCTCACAGTAAAGTTGGGACCTGCAATCATGTCAAACCCCTGCTGAGTAAATGCTCACAGACACTCCCTTTTATAGCACTGTGTGTGTGTGTGTGTGTGTGTGTGTGTGTGTGTGTGTGTGTGTGTGTGTCTGTGTCTGTGTGTCTGTGTGACATTCACCGTGGTGTTTGTTCGCCCACTGAGCCAGACAGCTGGAACACAGCAGTGTACACACAGACACACACAAAATGTGTGCCGGCGGCAGACACATTGTCAACACGCATCCTTGCCATCTCACACACACACACACACACACACACACACACACACACACACACACACGCACACACACACACACAAACAGAGACACACAGAAATACCCACACACATGCACACAAACACAGAGACATGTATACGAGCTGTCACATACATGCAGCATATTCTTATACAGGCTCATTATCTACAGCAAGATTCACAGTCTCATGCAAAACAAAAACTGCCTGTGACACACAGACGCACACACACACAGTGACTGTTCCATGTAAATGACACCATCATTAATACAGACAGTGCTGCTGTAAAACTAACCTGAAGTGAAAACTCAACTGAGACACTAAATATTAAAAATATGATTTTCCAAAAGTTCTATGATTTCTTATTAGCTATTTAGACTTTGTTGGAAATGTAAAATGTGTCCTGGGACCTTTAAAGCCATGATAATGACACTATTTGTAACTGCTAACCATCAAGCATAGGCTGTAAAAAAAAACAAAAAAAAACGTAGCTACTGTGATGTCATCCACTGGTTTGTGGACTCCCATTTTAAAGCCTCCAGTCCATTATTTTGACTGGTGCTTTCTTGGTGTTTTGGAGCCAGAAGTGACCATATTTGGTAAGAGGTTGGCGCTTGGCACTGTGGAGGAGTGAGGGGTGGATCTGACTGAGAAGCTGACCACATTACTGGCCAACAGCCTGTCACTCACAGCGGCCCCAGCCTCAATTATGTGTAACTTTAAGTTTCAATATAATGTAACAAGGTAAGGTAGGAGGCCCCAGGGTAGACCCAGAACATGCTGGAGGGATTACATATCCCGTCAGGCTTGGGAACACCTCTGGGTCACTCAGGAGGAGCTGGAAATCGTTGCTGGGGAGAGGGACGTCTGGGGTGCTTTGCTTGGCCACCCAAGACTTGGCCCTGCCTAAGTGGATGAAAATGGATGGATGGAGGTGAGTTTTTTAAAATTCATCCCCCGTACAGTTGTCATGAAGGAGGAAACGGACCTTTCGCTAAGCCCCGCCACTTTGTGATGGTCAAACAAGCTGTCGGAGTAAGCACAGAGCCCACACTGTAACTAACACTCCCTAAAGAAATATTATCATATTTTTGGAGAAATGAAACAGTGATTGCAGAGAGAAGCAGACAGAAGGGTCTACAGTCTGTGTTTGAAGGATATATCCAGGATGTCAAACTGACTCAGCAGCAGCAACAGGTTAAAAAGACAAAGATAGTTAGAAGCTAAAGCCAAACTATAGGCTACAGATCACAGTGTAAAAGTGAACCACCACATCACTGCTGATCGCCACACAAGACAATGAATGTAAAGGGAAACTTTGCTGATATTGAACCAGCTGTGTGGCATCACAGTGTGTGTGTCACATCACAGCACCCGGACCTCCATCGCCAGACGGGCAGGGATCTCCGAGGGAAGTCAAACAACGTTCATCTGCGCACACTGCGATGACACAGAGCTGGTTGAATATAAGCAAAGTTTCCCTGCTTCCCTTCACTGGTTCCTGTACAGCAGGGTCGGTCTTTGTTTCACTGTTATAATCATTAAAAAGCAAAAGCAGCATGTGTATGCATTCAGTAGGCTATATCTTCAGTAGCTAGCTAGCTAACCCTACACTTTTCAGGGTCTGCTTTTGTTTTTGGAACAGGGAAGAAACGTTTATCTTTTTCCAACCTCTCCACGTAACGAGTATCATTAATACACGACGTGCCCCAGGCACAACATTTAGCTCCAAATCCACAAAACCAGCCTGAAAATGAAGGAAATCTGAAACGAATGCATTAGAGTCAATGGAGCACAGCTGTGTTGTTGTCGGACCCTGGTCTGAGCCGGCCCCATACTATGTTATGATTGGCCAGTCTGCATCTGGGGGCGGGACATAGCAAAGGGTCAAGTAGCTAAGGAGACCAAACTGTTTTTTGTACCAGGCTTTAAACATGTTTATTTTTGCTGTAATACTATCTTAACATGGGGGTCTAGATTCATCTCTTTGGTTTTAAATGACTCATTTTAAATTATCAGATTTTCTCTCTCCCTCTCTCAAACACAAAGGAAAAGTATACACAGGGGCCTTCTATTTGATGTAAGTGGTTTTAGAGATTGACCTGGATAATGGAGCAGAAACAAGACTATAAGACTGACTGTACTCAAAAAGGGGTTAAAATGTTGCATGTTGCCAAATGAACTGTTAGCAGACTACAAGCATGTCCCAGAGCCATGGATGTGTTAAATAGCAAAATATGTACAAAAGAAATGGATCAATGTCTGCCTTTGATTATGTAAGTGATTCTGCACAATTTACTGTTTTATAACAGCAATGTTTTAGTGTGCTTTGTAAAGCATTTCATAAGCAAATATTACTGTCTGATAGGTTCATGTACTGCATACTGCTGAAGAAAAGCCTGTGCATATTGCCAATAGATCTTATCACTGCTGTTACAATTTGTGTGTCTTCCATTAATTAATAACATAAAATTATGCATTTTGTATATTAATAGCTTCATGATTTGGTCATTGATGCACATTATTTCAATATTATTTTGTAATTACCAGAACAAACAGTAATCTTCTATCTATGAGAAAGGCAAGTCTGTGGTTCTTTATTACTGGAGGTAAATCTTGCCAGCACGTGCAAAAGAGCACACACCTGACAGCAGGGGTGCCATGCGAAAAGAAAAGGCTTTATATAACCTGTCCTGTTGTGCTACTGTTGACATTAAACCTCATAATTTATGACCAAAAAGCAGACACTGTTTCCTTCGCAATAAACGCTGGCTTTCATTGGCCTCTAGCAAATTAAGCCATTAAGATTGAATTGCCCTTTCCCACTTTGCTTATTCAA